CTTTTTCTCTCTAAGCATGTCCTCGATCAAGAATTTAAAAAAACAGCAACAGGAAATTCAAAGTATACTGTGATGAACAGAGAGTAAAAACAAGGGGATACAAAAGTCCCTTATGATCATATTTTCCCAAGTAAAATTAGGTGTAAGGGCAGAGAAAAACAAGACAATATTCCTTCTCTTCCATTCCTTCACCTTTATTAATGATTTTTACATCAGTGATTCTCAAATAATCTCTAAGAAAAGTCCATCCTATATAATCCTATAAAACAATAAAACTGTGTTTTTCTGTTATAAGTAAAAAATTTCCTTCCAAACTAATTGTTTAGCTTAATTATTAATTAAATTACTAATGACTTAAATAGTATAAAACTTTAAGTAGAAAGAAGGCTTAATGAAATAACATTGCAACTTCCTTATAGAATAGAGTATTTTAATATTCTCAAATAAATACAACAATGATTTTGACAAGCTACCTTCTGTTTACAGAAAACACCAGATTGTTGTAGGGTTTCTTGTTCCATGTGTATCCAGACAAACATCAAGCACGACAATACTAATGGAAAGAGAGCTTCATACCTAAGGGATGGTTGGGAGTGGGTGAAAGAGGGAGGGTAGAAATGAAAAGACAAGAACATTAAACAAATTAAAATGCAAATTTATACTGAGAGGTCTTTTTCAAAATTAAAACAATCTTAATAATATTTCTAAGGCACAACAAAATTAAAATTTTCTAGGTTTTCCAAAGGAAGTAGGAAAGAAAAGTAACATTTAAATATCAACTCCAACGCCATCTTTTTTTTTGAAATGTATTAAATCTTGAGATTAGGACATGTTTAAAATAGTGGAGATACTTAAATGTAATTCCTCCCCTGGCCGGAGTGGCTCGGTGGCAAGGGAGTCGCCTGAGCACTGAAGGGTGTTGGGTTCAACTCCCAGCCCAGGGCACATACCTGGGTTGCAGGCTCCATCCCCAGCCCCAGTCTGGGCAGGTGTGGGAGGCAACCAACTGAGGCAACTAATCGATGTTTCTCTGTCTTTCCCCTCCCCTTCCCTTCTATTCTCTCAAAAGTATCAATGGAAAAAAAATATCTATCCTCTGGTGAGGATTAACAACAACAACAATAATTCATAAAGTAAAAGACAGACCTATATACATAAAAAGAAAATATTAAGACAAAGGTAAAAATATAATTCTCAAGTTAAAATTATTAATATACATAGGAAAAAAGCAAGATAAATGTTCCAAATTTTTAAAAAAATGGCTGCCATACAGGAACATAAAATTCTCAACAACAAAAAAGAGCTGATACATAAAAATATGTTTGACCTTATTGATAACTGATACAGAAATTAAAATAATAGGGAGATACCATATTCACTTATCGTATTTACCAAAAATAAAAAAAATGCTGGCAAAAGTGTAATGAAAAAGGAACTCTCATCCTTCTGCACAGGAGTAAAACACTATCTGGAAGGCAGTCTGACACTATGCATCAAGAATCTCAAAAATATTCATAGACTATAACCCAGCTATTTTCAACCAGTGTGTCGCTAGAATTTTTAAAACATGCGGTGCCTGACTATTTAGTCAGGGGCACTGACCTCCTTTCCCTTAGATTGTGAAATAAAAAAATGACAACAGCCAGCACAATAGCCTCCGAAGTGAATGAATCAAAATCATACCTATTTTTCTGTCAGACTGGCAAAAAGTACACTTTCTGGTGTGCCACAGAATCTCAGTAATTAGTTTCCATGTACCATGACATGAAAAAGGTGGAAAATCGCCGCTGTACCCAATGCCACCACTTCCAGGAATTCCCCGAGAACACACAGACACACGCACCACATGTCTGCTGTGGCGCTGTTCACTGAAGGGACACCAGAAAGCCACCTGCTCTCCACGGGCGAGTACTGCTCATCTTAGGCTGCAGGATGGTGTGGACAAAGGAGAAGTGCTCAGGAGGCGACCAGTGACAGAAGCCTTTTCTAACCCTTTTCTACCTAAGTTTGGGATAAGAGTTCTACCTTTGTAATTCCCCAAAACTCTACGACAGCACTTATCACACTTTTTTTTTAAAGTTAATTCTGTGGCTTTTAAAAAACATATATGTCTTTATTGATTTCAGAGAGAGGAAGGGAGAGGGAGAGAGAGAAACAGCGATGAGAGTCCTTGATCAGCTGCCTCCTGCACGCCCCCTACTGGGGATCGAGCCCGCAACCCGGGCATGTGCCCTGACCTGTTGGTGCACAGGATGACATTCAACCCACTGAGCAACACCAGCCAGGGCTGGGTGTGATCTCTTAATGAAACTCATGTGTCACCCCAAAATGGTGGGTTAGAACAGAAATGACTTTATATTCTGATTTCTTATCTAGTCAAAAAACTGTGCATATTCTAATTCACAGATGCATTTATACATTGTTAGATTCTGATAACTAAATTATTTATTCTATAATTTCACCAATAAAGGGAAGAAAGGGAAAGAGTTTTAAGGCCTCATTATGTTTATTACTCTTGAGTAAGAATATTGATAGACTTCAAGTTTTATTTGAAAGTTCAAAGTTCTAAGTCTGAAAGCAAGCCAGTCTTAAGGTCTTGTGAGGTTAACTGGTGGGAATGTCCATGTTGCTTATATTACGTCTTCATTGCTGTGCCCAGATCTGTTTGTGCAGAGAGAAATGAAAAGACAGGAGGAGGTGTGGGGAGCTCTGGTCAGAGGAGGAGGGTCAGCACCCACTGGGTTATCGTCTATCTGGTGAAGAGAAGAGCTAGCGGGATCTAGGTCACTCAGCATCTTAGGGTCTACTATGAAGACTCTGAGAACATCCCCCCAATTCTGAATTAGGACAAGTAGGTTTCCCAAAAAAATGAACCTAAGTCTTGGTCCCAAAATGGCTTTACAGAATCATCTGATGTGGGCATAATTCATTAACACAATGGTGAACCCCTGGGTTTAGCCTAATTGAAACCAAATCCTGTATTTGGGCAAAACTATGAGTGGTGGTTGTTCAGTCTGCCTGTTCTATTCGATGTTTGTTATAATGTGCACATTTCTCATCCTCATAGGATTTAAGTAAGGATGAAATAAAATTCAGAAGCAAGTGGAGAATATTTTTCTCCTAAGTAGATGGGAAGATACAGGTCACTTTTTTCACTGAGTTAAGAGAACGCTTCAGGACCCATCCAAATCAGACTGCTAGCATTTGGTTTTTCTTCTGTAAGAAAATTTCAATCTTAAATGCATTCTTTAACTTTTGGGAAAATATTCTAAAAGTCTTCTGAATCAAAAGGAGTATTTGGACTATGATACATGTGAGAGTAAAAACAAAAAGAAAATATTAAATTCAAAGAAGAATGAATAAAAGCATAATTTAAAGTACACAAAAGAAATGCAACAAAACTACAACTCTTCTAAGTCCTTGAGACTTACTATATCTCCCTAATCAATCCGAATTTTCTAATACGAAAGTAAAATGACATTTTAGCAACTTCAGGAAATAAACAAAAAGACAAAGACAATAGGTAACACTGTGAACATAACATGAAAAGGGAAAGACTGTGGTCCAAGTCATACATGATTCTTACAGAGTACACAATACTTACAATCTATTCCTCAAAATCCACACATTCTTCATTCCCGAGGTGAGACACTCTAGAGAAACACCTACATATAACCTAAAACGAGCTACCTAAGTGACGTTTTAAAACCAGTGCATACCCTCTGCTTAGAAGGAGGTAGGCCGACATCGAGGACACAAGGATGCTGAATAACCGCTCCAAGAGGCTCCTGGGGCTCAGCAGGGGCACGACAAAGGAGGCGGCTGCAGGACACACGGGCACGGTCCGAGGCACAGGACATGGGGGTTTAGAGGCACAAAACAATCAATAGTCGCATATGACCCTACTGTTTGTGTGACCATTTTAATGCCCTAATCATTTCTGTAAGAAATTTGAAACTTCCTGTTTCTAATTAAAATCACATTTCATTGTTTTAACCAAAATTTGGCTCAGATTTTCTCAATTTATATGCAGCCTCACTCACTGTAATATTAACTCCTATATGAGTAACTTATGTTCCATATAATAAAAAACATTATTCAAGATTCAGCAACTTTTCTCTTAATTAGGCATTTAGTTCAAAAGACCACTTACTCCCCAGAAACTGATTTTTTTCTAACCCCTCCTCCTCCACGTTTCCCACTGCAAAATACTCATTGAGAGTATAGTGTGCTCCTCAGGAAACTAGAGACAGGAGAAAAGGGCTTCTCCACGCGAGAGTTGAAATAAGAATAATCATAATCAATCATCTTTCCCCACAGCATAGGAAAGCAATTACTTCGAAGGGAGCAGGACAGACGAAAGGAGAGGGGAATGGAAATGTACATAACTTCCTAATCCCTCTCGTTAGGATGGCAATGTGCCTGGAGTTAAATATTCCAGAGTATGGAGACAGATGACCTGCGACGGAATCCTGGCAGAATCACTCATTAAGTGTTTAACCAAGGGGCATGTAAGCAGTATTTCCATCTGCCAAGTAGAGATAATATAAAAAAGTGGTGAGGTTTAAATGAAATTTCACCTGTAAAATGCTCCCTGAGCATAGTGCCTCGGGTACAGTAGGTGCTTAATAACTGTTAGCTGCTCTTGTTATTACTAGTCAACATCTACTGAGTTAAATTTAAAGATAATCTCATTCAAAAGTCAAGTCACTGCAAAATTTAATATATGCAAGTTATTCTTATAATACTTTGGACAAATAGTTTATTTTTTTCAGATGTGTGGTTATGATAAGGTCATCAGGAACTGATACATATTTTAACAGGAAGAAATGACATATTTCCTATTTTAAAAAAGTCAGTTCAAATGAGGCCTCTTCTGTAAAACTGTATTTTCTATTCTTGTTTTATAATTTTGTCTGAATGACTGGTGAGGTGCTAAAGGGGAAACGAGAGTCCCCATTCTGAATGACAAAAGTCAGAACCAGCTTCATAACAAAGAACGTATGTGTGGACCAGAGCATGTTAGTAAAAATCCTCACTGGAGCTCGACTTCGGTATATCAGTGACTGGAAGAGGTCTCTGGAAATATTGCTGACCTACCTATGAGTCAACTATATCACACCTTGCACCATTGGTAGGCATCCTCTAGTATCTAGCTGTCCTAACCCCAAGGAGGAAGTATCTTGTTTAAAATAAATGCCCAGTCTGCAAGAAACTCACTTTTAGGACACACACAGGCTTGAAGTAAAAGGTCAGAAAAAAGAGTCTATGCAAATGAAAACCAAAGAAAGCAAATGGCAGCAACAGTTATATCAGATTACAAAATAGACTTCAAGCCAAGAATGATAAAAACACATGAAGATCATTACATAATGATAAAGGAGTCAATTGGTAAGATGTAACAATCATAAGCACATATGCACCCAACACTGACGCACCTAAATATATTAAACAAATAACAGATCTGAAGGGAAAAACAGACGATAATACAATAATAGTAGAAGACTCAATAACCAACGTTCAACAATGGAGAGATCACCCAGAGAGAAAATCCACAAGGAAACATTAGCCTTAACCATATGGTGGATTGAACAGACCTAAAAGAAATCTACAGAACAGTCTACCCAACGGCACAGAACACACATTCTACTCAAGTGCACACGGAACATTCCAGGATCACAGAACAGGCCACAAAACAAGTCCTAGCAAAGTTAAGAGGGCTGCTGAAATCATACCAAGCATCTTTACTGATGACAATGGTAGAAGACTAGAAATCACAACACGAGGAAAGTTGGAAAATCTACAAATATGTAGAAATTAAATAGCACACTCCTGAACAACCCCTGGGTCAATGAAATATCAAGAGAAACAACAACAAAATCTCGAAACAAAAGAAAATGAAAACACAATATACCAAAACCTATGGGATGCTAAAAAAGCAGTTCTGAAAGGGAAGTTTATAGTGATAAATGCATATATAGTAAAAAAAAACAGAAAGAACTCAAATAAACAACCTAACTCTGTGTGTTACAGCGATACACAGGATCCTAAGAGACTAATGAACAATGATATGCCACCAAATTGGATAACCTAAAATAAATGGATACATTCCTGGAAACATATAACCTACCAAGACTGAATCAAGAAGAAATAAAAAAAATCTGAACAGACTACCTACAAAGGAGATTGAATCAGTAATCAAAAACCTCCCAACACAGAACAGCCCAGGACAGAATTTCCCAGGCTTCACTGGTAAATTCTACCAAACATTTAAAAAATAACTAATGCCTATCCTTCTCAAACTCTTCCAAAAAATTAAAAAGTACAGAACAATTCCAAAGGGATTTTACTAACCCCGCATTACCCTAATACCAAAGCCTAATACACTACAAGAAAGAAACTGTAGAACAATATACCCAATGAATATAGATGCATAAATTCTCAAAACAATGTCAGTATATCAAATCAAACACATTAAAAGGATTATACATTATGGCAGGGTGGATATAAAGTAAGGCTTATAAGGTATACAACTTCTTAATGCAAAAAGTAAAAAAGTACTCAAATATATATATATACACATATACATATATGTATATGTATGTATATATACACACACATACATATATGTATAATATATATGTATATATGGGCCTATTTACCAGCTAGCTTGAAGGGGTTTTCTCTCTGGCTAAGTCTGGGATAATTAGAGCAAGCAAATACCAACTGTAATGAGTTATTAACCTTTGAAAAAATAGCTCATAAGTCCACAAGAATAAATATGTAAGTGAATCAATGAAGGAAGGAAAAAGAAGGGCGGATTCCTACAGTAGAGTATGGAGAGCCTTTTGGTAAATGCAGTGGGAGTGTCGGAGCTAGAAAATAATTTGTAGCCATCATGACAAAGACTAGACAAGGAAGGACTTATGAAGATGCTGAATCTAGGGAGAAATTGTGATGAGAAGGACATCTGATGGTCTCAGAGTGTCATAGGCAGCTTATTAGTTGAAAGGGAGGGAAAGAGAAAATAAACTGATTCCTCTTCTGGAATCACTTAGATTTTTATCAGATGTGAGTAAATGCACAGCCTTGCTATCATGTCATAAATAGTCTATCAAGTAATTCTTATTAATACATGGATGTTCAAAAAAGTTCTACCTTTCTTTGTCAAATGCAAGAGACAGAAATAATAGCTGGTCATTTTTATTTTCCTGTAACAAAATTACATCTTTCAATAATAATGATATAGATGTCAATGGATAATTTTAAACTATGACTTGATGTAAAGTTACCTTCTTTGGTTTGATTGACCTCTTACCTAATATTATCCAGCTAACCATCTGGTTAATAAGAGGAAGTCCTTGTTTCTTAAGTAGGCTATTATGGGTGCTGTACACAGCCCACATGGAGAGCACCGTGCTCAGCATCTGAAAACACACAAAACACGCAAATAAAGAGAAGGTGGTGAGAGACTAATCGATATAAGAATACTTCACAAAGTGCTCGAACAACTGGAAGATGGCAAAAATGCTAGTGAAATTGGACCGGCTCGCCTTCTCGTGGCCAAGGCTGAGCGAGCCCTCTACACTGCGCGAAGGCCATACTTGACAGGCACGAGATGAGGCATTCCACGCCTCCAAGAGATCTCGGCATACGTTACCATCCTTTCTACCTACAAATAGTCATTGTTGACCTGAAGTTTTCCTAAATCATGGAAATGCAGAGGGCGAACTGTATATAGTTTAGTGTATGTGGTCGAGTGTCTTCTGCCTCTGGCGCTCACCCAGTCATATCCATTTATTCATTCAATACCTACTTGTGGTCTGAATATTCTTGATGCTGGGAATACAAGATGTACAATATTCTTCAGGGAAACTGTAGCTTACAGGCCGGGAGCCCGTTTTTGGAAATACTGTTTTATCAGATCACAATCACTACCGTTCATTTACATGTTGCCCATAGATCCCTTTGCACTACAGGGGTGGGGATGAAAATCTACAACAGATCTACATGGCCCTAAAGCCTAAAGTATTTACAATCTGGCTCTTTAGAGAAATGTTTGCCGACCCCTGAACTAGTGGGTTAACTGCTGTTTTAAGAAATGAGCTAAGTTATGGCTGTGGAAAAAGTAAACTCTTTTAGAGACCAGATTAGCAACTTCACCACCAAATTGTAGAGCTATATTTAATTTACTCTTATAGTTTTAGTGAAGGAAGAAGGAAAAAAGTGCTGTCAGTAAAGCTATGACACAATCCTAGGATCCTTTCAACTATAAGACACATTTTCATTTCAGGTATGTTAAAATGTGAAAAGATACACATCTTGGAATCAATGAAAAATATGGTACATAGTTCAGGAATTGATGCAAATTAATTTTAATGCAAATTAAAAGTTAATGTGAAGAGGAATTCTGTAGCAGATTTACCTTATACTTGGGGGTGTTTCTAACAAAGCCCATAAGCATTCTCACATCATGCTCTTTGCTCCTAAAGAATGAGATGCAGAAACATTCACTCTGCCAAGTACTCGGCATCACCGGCGAGTTCTGTCAAAGCTGCTCTGGGCTTTAGAGACAAGCCGGTCAGTACACCATTTAAAATAAAAGATACACTCCAATGGCTTGATAGGATCCTTGACAAAATGTTTCTTCTCTTGTTATATGTTCTCTGTTGTTCTCCAAGAATGACAGCTTTGAAGTGTGGCACATACTTATTTTAGAGTGCTCTTGGAAATACTTCCTACTATCCGAGCTTTAAGTAAATTTTTTGAGTAGACATAAGTTTTTTTGTCAGTGTTCTAGATAGTTTTTAATTTTTTTATTGTTTAAAAGAAAAAAATGTGGTTTCCACTATTATCTACAAAAATGCTCTCATTTTACAGAATATTACATTATAATCTCTAATTCTCACAACTATTAGATATTATCTCTACTTTACAAATTAAAAACAAACTAAAGTTCTACTGCTGAAAATCACACATGTAGTAGGCAATATAACTGGAAATTGACTCAATTTTGAAACAGCAAGTTCACAGTTCTTTATACCACACCAAAGCCACCAACCAAGGTGAAGTTTACCTTCTCCTAGGGCGTCGTCTGAAGCTCTAAGTTGGCCCTTCCTCACATAAGCACACTCAGAGGCTGCCCTCACTTCAGGGAAGCTTACCTTCTTCCTGACCCAAATGAGGACTTTTTAGTTAGCACACATCTCTTATGCTTCCTTTACCTGCTCTCTGGGCATCTCTAGGCTGCCTTCTGTTGACCTTTTTGCTATTTCACACCTTTTAGAGACTATATTTCCATGTGATATCTTAAACAGAAAACTATCTTCTTAGCTGGTAGGTACTGGATAACTTAAACATGAAGATACCTTAAGAACAACTTAATTAAATACAATCGTAAGCTACATTTTCGTATATTGTTAGTGTAAGACAGTGTTGACAATCTGTAACTAACCTGTAATAGATGTAACAATAGCTTGTCATTTGCAAAACTTTCTTTTGTTTTTATGAGCAATGTTACAACAAACAAGGACAGCAGAAGGACCAGCAGGCCTGCACCCATTCTGTTTGAAAACAAAATTCACAATTTCAAATTTTCTTAAGATGCTGATTGAACACAGAGCATCTGAAAACATTAGATTCTACTTTAAAGGAGAACCTCTCAGTCATTTGTTTTAATCAAGATGAAGTAGGAAAATGGGTACATGTACTTTAAAAACTACTGTTTAGTTAACCTTTAATTAAAAGACATACTCTCATCTGTGAAAGATTAGGTTAAAATGCTAAAAATATTGCTTATAAGAGTTCTAAGAAAGTAACAAAATAATTACATAATTAGAAAATGAGAAAGTGCTACATAAAATAGTGATCAGTGAGCTTGCCAAACACACACATACACACACAGCCTGTAGATTACTTGATAATAATTTAAAAGTAAAGTTAAAAGCAAAGGTAACCAATTACTTTATGGATTCATTTGGGATATACTGAGAAGAAATCAATGTAATAGTATCATGGAGAATTCAGGAAAGGTACATAGAATTTTCTAAAGGCTAAAGTGATTAAACATGGGAAAGTTGTCAAGGCATACAGTTTCCTTCCATGGAGATCTTTACATTCAGATTAGAATCGGAATTTCATTTTTCTAAGACTTAAAGTGTGGACACGCTCAAAGGCAAAGACAGAGATTACATCATGGCTTTTAGACCTTTGTGTTTTGGCAACAGAACATTCTTTCATATGAAAGCTTTTCCAGATTCCCCAGTATACAAAATACAGAAGCTTCTGAACTTGGGGGGTGGAAGACGGTATTTTAAGTTATCACCCTTGGGCACAATGTCATTCTTGTGAAGGCCCAGAGGCAGCCCAGGGACCTTTAATGCTTCTTAGAGCCTGGACCAAAATTACCATTGTGACTAATGGTTAGATATTAATATTTTAACTTCCAGTTTGTTTATGTGATTCTAAACTCATGATCAAGATTAGGTTCACATTTCATAGTGCTGATTGAGAAAAACTGTATTGAAAAGAAAGTTAAAATATTGTTCATACACTAGAAAGATATCTGGCTTTCGTCCTACAACAGGCATCAGTGGGAACACTGCCAGGAGCAAACAGAAGAAGATCCAACTCAGTGAGATGCTCTAAAAAAAAAAAGTTATCTTTAGACAAATATGGTAGAGAAAACAGTCTTCAGTGTCTCACAGACTACATGGCTGTGAATCAAAAGGCAAAGGCAAAGCCTTCTATGTTTACTTTAAAAAGTAATGGAGTTACTATCTGTGAAGGACAGTTATGGAGTAGGTAAGTGTATTAGGTATAAGAAACACCTCCCTTAATTATCACAATAAGCTGGGAGATAGGTTATATTATTCACAAAGTTTCAGGTGAAGAAACCGAGCTCAGAGATGTTAAATATGTATAAATAGTATCAGCCTAGGACTAGTAAATGAAACAGCCAGGAGTTTAACCTGGGCCTGATATTTCAAAGCAAGTGCTTCCTTCAATTTCCGTTACACTGTATATCGATTATATCTATACTCAATTTGGACTGTAATCATAATCAAATGATTGAACCCAAGGGGGAAATCGGTAAAAATACTTTTATAATTAGATTATGACAAAAATGATTAGTAATCCCACTGAGGAATTTTACAAGTCCTCATAGGGTGGAAAGAAGACATATTTCTATCCTCTTGCTACCTCCACCAAAAAGTATCAAAATGGAAACAAGCGTGTTCCTTGTAGAAATACAATGTAATTCTCTATCTAGTTGAAGGAAGAAAATCAGGAGTAATTATACTTTAAAATAATCCATCATAAACATATACATCTCCAGGAGAGAACGCAGGTGGTGCAGCGCCAGGAGGGAGGTGACTCCTGTGATCCGGTTCAGACTGCGGCCCTCTCTCTACGCCACTGCTGTGGCACTTGGCAGTTCCTCGGCTGCTCCAGCATTTAGATACTTGAGGCTGAGGCAATCTAGCAAGTGCTAGAAGGATACAGCAGCTCTGCTACTAGAGTATTTCAGCTGCCACATAACAAGCTCATATTGAGATGAAAACCTATGCGAATCACTGAAACCTTAAAGCAACCTCTGTCCTCATGTCTCAAGGACCAGACTCTTCATATAAGGACATGTTCCACCCTTTTCTTAAGAAACAAACAGTCCCCCCGAGTTAAACACATATCAAAACCAAGTAGGTACCAATCTGTCCAGTGTCAAAATGAGTACTTATACCTTTGCTCGAGTCCACAGATGAGTGGTAAATGGCCAACCCGCAAATACAACAAGTCCAGCAGTAAGCATATAGCGGTAGAAAAAGCTGAGAACCTAGTAGTGCGTTCCAAAGAAGAAATAAAAGTGAGGTCATTTAAAAGGAGTTACATATATGTGAGAGAGACATGAATATGTTGTAATGCAGTAAATTACTCACTAATACTTCAATCCCCAGGATACAGGCTAACAGGTATCCAACAAAACGACGCGGGGGAAAGGTCCACAGTGATGTGACAAGGTCTTGAATAACGTGGTATCTGTTTAGCAAGATTATTTGTAAAAAGATTATTTATTGAATAAAATTACATCTTGAATTAAATTTATTATAAAATATTATATATTGAATTAAAGATTAGGCCATAGCAAAGCTATAAATCAGGAAATTTTCAATTCACAAATTATTTTAAAACAAAGAGAAACTCTAATACATTTGTTTCAATGGCTTTACTGACCTAAATCTACTCTTGAAAGCTAGTAGTATTTTAGGAAAAAATATAATTTCTGAATTAATTTGATAATGATCACAAAAATCTGCTTGTTATTAAAATATTAATGACAATAAATGAGTCTTATTTGAGCTTACTTTAACCATACCCATGTTTATATAATTACAGATACAGTATCAGAAATAAAATAGAGTGAACCCAAATAAATAAAAACTGAAAAACAATTTTAATTCACCAAGGTTAATCTTATATTGAAATCTTAACTGTCTTAATGAAATAAGGGTGGGTTTTCCTTATCTAGTTACAGTAAATCTTAATTGCACTTTTTTACTGAGCTAAATAACCTTTTCCAAACCCACTTTAAGATACCACTAATTACACAGTAATTATAATTAAATATGAATTCATAGCCATTTAAAATGTATTACATACTTGAGTACTTTTTATATTTCATTACTGGAAAAAATTTTTTAGCATTTGTAGTACATTAGTAAGCAGGTAATTATAAAACGTCAGTATCATCTGATTTATGACCTTTTTAACTGATTTAAAACAATGGCTACATAATGTTAACAAAATTGTTAAGGTGACAAGTAGGAAAGAAAAGCTACCACCAGGCAAGAGAAGAGTGTTTCTTTTGTTCATAACAGTGAATGAGCACAGAGAAAAGAGAGAATTTTGTAAAATCATCTGGAAGGCTTTTTTCTGGTGTCATTTACTCTGTTTAAAAATTTTAGAATGTAAGATTTTACCCTTGCAGAGCCCCTCGGGGCTCGGTAGGAGAACAGAATTTTCTGCAAGGATAAAATCTTTCATTCTAAAAATTTTAAACAGAGTAAATGACACTAGGAAAAAAAGATTTAAATATGTATACCCAGCAACCACATTTCTTTCA